CTGAAGCAAAACTGCTCCCTTTCAGTCTTTGGTGCTACACATGTTCAACTACTGGGTGACAATAACAATATATTCTGAAATATGTTGTGTTCTGCCTACATGGAAGAAACAAATATAAAATAGGCTTTGTTCTGTTCTACTAGATAGCAAGGTTCCTTTCCTTTTTGTTTGTTCCTTGTTCCTTGTTGGCCGTGGCTCTTCAGTCCCGGAAGTGGTGGCAAACAAGCAGCAGCAGGAAAGTAAAAGGAAAGGAAGAGAGAGGGAGGGAATGAGTGACAGACCATCAAGATGGACGGATGGATGGGCATGAGCTCTCCGCGGAAGGCTGCGAAAGGAGACGGGGGAGGGGAGCGTGTGCGAAAAGGCTTTTCTCTCGGCATTACCCCCTCCTGCAGCACATTTGGGCAGGGAACGGAAGATCACCAGGCAGAAGGAAGGAAAAGCGCGTGGCCAGGTGGCGAGCGGGATCCCTCCTTCACCTCAGCCATAGAGACGACAAGGTGACAGCAGCAGCAGCCGCCTCGCCAGGTGACCAGAGAAGAGCGGGAGGGAGGGAAGAGAGAACTAAATGTAGAAGCTCCAGTGGCGTCAAACCCCTGAGGGAGAAGACTGCCGGGCAGGGAGAGGGCTCCCCTTCTGGATGAGTGGGCACTTCAGAGGGGCAGGCAGGACCCAGCCCCTACAAAGTGGGGAGGAAGCCCCACGCTCGCCAAGTAGGTGCTGTCACTACTGCTTCCACTCCAGGTTGGCCTGAAATTAGAAGCCAGGCAGATTTTGAGAGTGGGTGGGCGTGTCACACTTGCGGGTGGCTGTGCTGCGCTCGTGCACATGCACACAAGGGTGACACACCCCTCTGCAAGCATAACATGCCCACCCGCAAGCGTGAAATGCCCCTCCACAAACACAACATGCCCCCCCCGTGCGTGCAGGGGGGTGGATATTCATGTCCGCAGCCCAGTTAAAGGAAGCCCATGGACTGGCGCAGGGCCGTGGACCGGGGGTTGGGGACCCCTGGCCTACGGTCATCAAGTGAATCGGATTCTGAAAGATTCAACCCAGCAGTTTCTCAGAATCTGACTCACATTCCAGTTTTCTGCACCAGACTACTGTCTAGGTGGCTTTCACATCTCAGCTACTTAGGATTTATATCTGACGTTTTAGAACTGTGGTTCATTTAGTGCTAAGTTGTAAGTCAGGGAAGAAGATTACATTACCTGAAGTGTAAGGTAATCAGCTAAAATCTGGATAGGGTGGTCAGAATCTGACAGTCCATTTATCACTGGTATGGTGGCCTCATTTGCCAACACCTCTAGATCAGCATGTTTGTACACTCGTGCCAGAATTGCATCTGTCATGGTTGATAATACCCTAGAGAAAGCAAGGAGAATACAAATCTTATTCAATCTATCACTAGAAAGAGTGTAGCAGAGGGGCTTTTTTTAGTCCTGCTGCCTGGATAATTTACAATGCTTGAATAAGTTTAAATACAGATTCAAGTGAAAGAAAAGTTAACCAATTAAAACATTTGAGAAACAACTAATGCCACACATTCATGAGGAAAAAATATACTAAAAGCATTTTATGAAGAAGTAGCCAGGGGCAGCAAAAATATCAGTTAAATGTGCACAAACAATCTAAAGAGATTGATATGCAAAGCAGGTAATAATCATTCCATATTTCCTTGGAATTCAACCTACTTAATGTCATGAAGCACAAACAAAGTAAAACGAACCCTAAATCTCAATTAATTATAACAGAATTCAACACCAATCACATCTTCCATTCTTATTCCTCATTATAGGACACTATATACAAGAGGGCCCCTGTATCTGTGCGGGCTGTGTTCCACAATTTACCATGAATGCCTGAAACTGCAAATAGTAGTGAACCCTATATACGACATAGGAGGAGGCAGGACAAAGGCCACCACCTTGCATGGTGTAGTAAACCACAGATAACTGAAACCACATATACCAGTCCCCTCCCCTCCCATTAAGTTCTTCTTTGCTTCATTTTGCTGCTGTGAGTTACGCCATTGTTTTTCTGCCAGCATAACTCTGCAACAGGGGTTAGGATAATATCTACCTACATGTAATATATATATATACTGTCTCTAAAAATGCTGAAAGTTACTGCCTACACCAAACATTAGTGAGTGGCCAAATGTTACACTGTGAAAGGCACTTCTGTTCCTCAGATCACTTTTTAATTTGTACAAAATATTAATGCAGGATGACTCAAGAGTGGCCATGTCACTTTCTGATGAGTGTATATTTCTTATTGTTATGGTAAGTTTTTGTGTGATATGCACTACGGTATGTTTGTGATAATTTGGAGGTTTTCTCTCTGCCTGTCCCCTTCTTGTGTTTTCAGCCTAGCCTGTTCAGAAAGGATCTGGAAATAATTTAAAATTGGTGAAAGGTGGTATAGTTGGTGCTCAGTGGGGGAAGAGAAGGGGGCAAGGAAATGCAAAAGTACCACTGCGAAGACAGATTTTCCTCAAGGAAATGCAAAAGTACCACTGCGAAGAGAGATTTTCCTAAATTCATTTTCCTGTAATCAGACCTTGAAAACGATTTTCCTAAATTCATTTTCCTGTAACCAGACCCTGAAAGAAAATAAGGGTGTATTTGCTGCCTGCCACATCCTTTTCTTCCTTTTAAGATTTGAAGCCAGACAAATGTGTGTGTGGCCAAATCTGTCTTCACAGCAGAACTTTTGCCTCTTTAATTTCTGACCATCGGCTCTAGCACTTTACAATAGGCTTTAAAACAAACAAACAAAAATTCATTTTCCTGTAACCAGACCCTGAAAGAAAATAAGGGTGTATTTGCTGCCTGCCACATCCTTTTCTTCCTTTTAAGATTTGAAGCCAGACAAATGTGTGTGTGGCCAAATCTGTCTTCACAGCAGAACTTTTGCCTCTTTAATTTCTGACCATCGGCTCTAGCACTTTACAATAGGCTTTAAAACAAACAAACAAAAATAACAGGTCTTTTCTAAGCAGACTTTATTTTCCTGGCAAGTGACAGACTTTAATTTCATTCAGAAGTACGAACATACATGCTTATAAATAGACATGCATGCAACCAACACCTTGCTGGGGTTTTGTTTGATTCCTCCTGTACCTGGAGCTGGGCTGGCTCTGCTTTTTGCAGGGGCATTTGATGGATGTAGTGGTCACTAATTCCAACATTGATTCAACCATTTAAGTTGCCATTCACCTCCTGCTTTAGCTAACCTGTCATTTTCTTTTATTTTAAAATTATAGTATGTAGAGTTAGTGATGTTCCAGTTGCCAGCCAATTAACACTGCCCAGACACAGATTCAACCATAAATAGCCAGGATCACTTTTTCTCTGAACCTTGATCTGAGAAAAAGTCTATCAATAAGCAAAATATGCAAATATACCTCAAGAACAGGCTCAATGATCTACCGTATTTTTCCGTGTATAAGATGCCCCCATGTATAAGATGCCCCCCACTTTTCTAACCCAAAATTAAGAAATTTAAGTGGGGTTTAGCAAGTATAGGGGGAAAGGGATCAAAGCACTGCAGGATCGCTTTGATCCCTGGTTTCTCCCTTCATGCTAAGCCCCGCAGGGCTTAGCAAAAGGAGGGGGAAAGGGGTCAAAGCAATCCCATGACTGCATGATCGTTTTGATCCCTTTCCCCCTTATACAGCCATGGGATTGCTTTGATCCTTTCCCCCTCCTTTTGCTAAGCCCCATGGGACTTAGTAAGCAGAGGGGAAAGCAAGGATCAAAGCCACCCTGCAACGCTTTGATTCCTGCTTTCCTTTTGCCAAGGTTAAGCAAGTGGAAGGGAAAACAGGGATCAACGCCCTGCAGGATCACTTTGATCCCTGCTTTCTCCTCCACTTGTTTTTTTCTCTCCTCAGCTTACTTTTGCATATAAGACGACACTCAATTTTAGTCTAAAGATTTTAGACAAAAGTATAGTCTTATACATGGAAAAATACAGTAATTAGATACACTTAGTCACACCCTCCACTTTGAATGCTAAGGATTTCAAGCACTTTTGGTCATTTCATCATATAAAATAACAAAGGAAATGGAATAGGCACAGAGTGTACTACGAACCGTGCGGTGTCGGTGATGCTTTCATTAATGCCCAGGTGAATATCTTGCAGAGTAAGAAAACATGGATGTCCTCCAAGGACAGCAAATCCTAAAACAGATATAAACCTTAGTATGGTGAGCCATACGTGCAACCATGGTATTCCAAAGGGCTGTGACAAATAATCTGATGTCTCATCAGAAGTAGAAATTCTATGCACAAAGTCTTTGCGAGCACAGAGGAATTGCCACAGGGACAGTTTGAATTGAAACATTTTTCTGCTGTTGCATAAAAGTGTAGGAACTCTTACCAGAAAATCATGGTGAACTAATGGAGTAAATACTATTATCATACTATCTTCCCTATAGACCTTCTGGAAAACATTAACTGTATTTATCTGTTTTTTCTGATCCTTTAGAAAAAGCTGCTTTCCTCTTTTCACACTTTTCACTGTACAGTATGAGTATCTTCAGTGTCTAACATACTATTGCCTTTCGTCTTGGTTTCTTTTCTGGATTGTTAGCTATTGGAGGCCACTGCAATTGACTGTAGCAAAGACGAGAAAGGTGGCAACGTGGGATAGCACAACATTTTCAATTGACTTGGTTAACTACCAATAAGGGCTCCTCCTTCTCCCCATGCAAACCATAAGCAAAGAGGGTTCAATCTGTACTAGTGCTGCAGCAGATGCAAATTGTTAACGCTTCTCCCATTCTCATGATTCATTTTGATCCGGCTCATCCGCCCTTTCCATTCCAGCTACTGGTTAAAGGAAAAACAGTGACTCAGTGCCAAGTTACAATATGATAAGTAGGGCAAGGATTTCTATGATCTAAAAATGTCAGGAACATGCAAGCATTTATTATTTAAATCGATAAATTAAACTAAAACTACCACTTTACAATTTTTCTGAAATTAGAATCCAGATTTTTAAAAAAATCTATGCTTATATGCCCATATAAAAATTAAAAGGCTTATTATTCACTTCCAGTGCAGAAGTGCTTATATTGAAGGCATCAAATGAACATTTTGCAAGTAAAATGGGCATGCCTGGATTAGTTTTCGTCAACCACAGAGCTGCATTGGATAATCACATCCACCTTGAGGTTATCAAACTCAAAACTCTTTCTGTTGTCTATCAGTATGTGTTTGTATCTGGAGAAACTCCATTCAACATCACAGGAGGTTATAGCAACAAATTTGGAAAAAAGCCAAATCATCTAGAGAAAATTCTAGTTTGAAGTCATTAAATTTTGCTTCAGATCCATTTAAAATGTTACTTATTTTGCAAAGCATTGAATAACCAACATTAGATTGCAGCACTCTTTGCAGTTTATCACTATTTTTTTCAGCCACTTTCCCCTGTGCTTGCTTTAAATCATCCTCAGTTTGTTTCACATTTTTCAGTGCATCACTAAGTTCCATTCCTACAGTTTCAAGGCAGGTGTTTGTTCTTGATAATCCACTGAAGTTAGATTTTATATATGCTAAATTTCCAGCCAAGGTTTTAGAATAGGAATCTTGCACATTCTCAGTGGAAGAAGATGCACAACAGTTAAATTCTTTAACTATCTGCTGCAAGGAATCAATTTGCGGAATAATATATAGCCGCATCCAGCCAACCTCCCCACTGTGTCACGACAGGTTGGGGAGGGAAAGCCAAAGTAGGAGCAATTTCTCTGAACGTTTAAATTCAAACTGGAACTTTAATGAATATTTTTTTCCTATTTAAAATTATTCTTATCTACATCATGATAATTGCTTTGAATCTCTTCCACCACTCTGTGTAAGCCATGGGCAAGGCATGTGATATGGATCATTTCTGGATAAAGACATTTAAGTCTCTTGACTGCCTTAGTCATGTATGGAGTGGTGTCTGATACAAAGAGGAGGATTTTTCCACTTTTTACACCATCTGCCCAGAGTAGTTTTGTAGATTCATCAAAGAGCATAGCAATAGTGGAATTGCTTTCTTTTGTACAGTGTCATTCATTAGAAGAAATATTTCACTGGTCTTGTCGCATTTCGGAGTGTCAATAATAACATTAGCTTACATCATGAGTTTCATCTGTTAAAACCCATATTTTATTGTTGTCACCAGCAGATTTTCCTAACACATCTTCATAGCAGACTAAGATGTAATTTGTTTCTTAGAATTGATTTGTTTGGAATTGGGTGACTGATATACTTCTCTAAGAAATGTCCAAGGGTACCACTACCCAAATTCTTCAGGGAATATTTGAAGTAACAATCATGGTACAGAGATCCTTACAAATTGCCTGTTCTCAGAGAAGGTACATTTTGTTAAACAACCATGGTATCACAATGTTGTTGAATATTAAAATGCTTTTGGGCTGACACCTTAACTTCAAACAAAATAAAATACTACCATCACTACTGAAAATTCACTCCCCAAACTCTTGAACAAAATGTCATCATTTCATACTCCATGAACATCTAGTTTTAGACATGTTGAAATTGTTGGGAAAGTTGCCGATGGCCAAAATAAATGACCAAAATAGAATGTTTATTACAAAAATAAGCAGAAATATGGCGTAACACTTTAAAAAGGTCAAAATATTCCTTTTCAGGCAAAATAAAAACCATGTGATTCTCACCAGATTAGTCAGAAACATGTTTTAACTTACTTATAACTTCATATAAAGGTTGCAGAAAAAATATGATGTCATAGAAATCCTCAGCCTAGTAATAGCAGAAATATGGCATAACACTTTAAAAAGATCAAAATATTCCTTTTCAGACAAAATAAAAACCATGTGATTCTCACCAGATTAGTCAGAAACATGTTTTAACTTACTTATAACTTCATATAAAGGTTGCAGAAAAAATATGATGTCATAGAAATCCTCAGCCTAGTAATAAAAGGCAATTTGTCTACTCTGGTCCTCCTTGGAATTAGATAAGTAAGAGCAAAATGTTTCTCTGCGATTTTTCTGAGTGTTGTCATGCTGAGTCTTTTCCCTCAAGGATTTTCTGTTGCATCAGTGAGATTTCCCAGGTTCCCACTAAAATAAGAAACCCAGATTTGTTTTCCCTTTCATTTTATTTGAGTTTTGCACAGAAAACTGACAAATTCTATATAGCTTAATGTATTTTCTTATGAATCCTGTACATATGCCATTCTGCACAAGAACTGGAATGATTCTTCACATCTTGGTATTTGTTCTGCCCTTTCCAAGTGAATCCTGCAGAGGAAAGATGACATTCTGTGCAGGAATTGCAGCAGTCCTGCTCAGCTTAGCATTTCTTTCATGGCAAAATGACCATGAAATGTCTGAAGAAAAACCAAGGTTCAGCCCACCTCTTGTTCAACTTGTACTTTGTTCTCTAGGGTGACCAGGCACAATGGAGGGCAAAAATCCTGAACCAATAAAAAAGGATTTTCCTCTTAGTGGCTATTCAAGCTCTAGACCAATGGCCATGTTGTCTGGTGATAATGGGAATAAAAGTCTAACACACATGCTAAGCTGTACTTCATTAGTTACTTATTTATCTAGTCTTGCTGACTTTGGATATAGAAGGAGTAAAGCAGCACAGCACAATCTTTGGATTCAGAAAGACCATCTTCTGCAATCAAAAATCCCTGGGCAAAAGGACTGCAAAAGACCTCTATTTGAAAAACTGGAGGATTTCAATGGGCTAAAGTAGGCTTTCAAGCTTCAGTATTTTTGTATGCCCAATAAAGATCAATGTGACTTCACAAAGAGCTCAGAGATGAACCTTGAAATAAAAAAGGACACATATAGGAAGTGGAGGGAAGGCCAGGTCATAAAGGAAGAGTATAGACAAGCGGCAAAGTATTACAGGGATGATGTTAGGAAGGCAAAAGCTGATAATGAGCTGAGGTTAGCAAGAGCAAGGAAATAGAGACTCAGCCACTTAATTGGGATGGAATAATAATAACAGATGACAAAGGAAAGGCAGAAGTGCTCAGTTTCTACCTGAGTCCACTCTTTTCTCAAAAGACGATCTGTGACTAGAGATGGGCACAAAGAACCAAGAAATTCATCAAAAATCGCTAATTTGTTGATTCCGATTGGCTTGGGTTCATCTAAACTGGAGAACCCGAACTTTCCCAAACCAACAAATATTGGGCCAATTTCTGAACCTCCTGGTTTGTTGCCCCCCCACAGCCTACCCCTGGCCCCTTCCCACTGCCTCTGTCACCTCCCTATCTTTTCCTGACACTGCCTCCTTTTCCTCCATTACCACCACCATCTTGAGAACCCTGACACAGGACTGTGGCCTTTGTGCATGTCCCCACCTCTCAGCTGGGAGGCGAGGACATGTGCAGAGGCTTCCCAGCCAGTTGGCAGGCCAGCTAAGGGAAAAAATGAATAAATAATAACAATTATTATTTTTTAGCTCACTGGCCTGTCAGCTGGCTGAGGGGCCTTTGCACATGTCCCTGCCTCTCAGCTGGGAGGCATAGACATGCACAGAAGGCCCTGGCCAGCTGACAGGCCAGGGAACTAAAATAAATTAAAAAATCAATACTTATCATTATTATATCCATTAGCCAGCCTGTCAGCTGGTAGGGGGTCCTTTGTGCATGTCCCCGCCTCCCAGCTGAGAGCGGGGGACATTCCCAGAGACTGGCTGGCCTTTGGGAGCTGGCGCCTCTCAAGATGGTAGCGACAGTGGCAGTGGAGGAGGAGGCAGCAGCAAGAAAAGGTAAGGGGGCAACAGGGCAGTGGGAGGCAGGGGGAAGCAGCCTTTTTTAAAAGACAGCCACTGGTTTGTTTGGGAAAAATTCATGAATTCATGGTTCATGGAGTTCCAGCTACCACAAACCAAGATAAACTGGCAAAATCTCTAGCTATGACCGTTCAGGCAAATTAGTGCAGGAAACAGGACAACAGTTTAAGACTAATAAACAAATAGTCAAAGAATAATTACTTTGAATAAGTTCAGATCTCCAGGGCCTTATAAACTGCATCCAAGAGTACTGAAGGAACTGGATGAAGAGATATCAGAACCTCTGTCTATTATTTTCTTGAAATCATAGAGGATGGGTGAAGTGCCAGATGACTGGAGGAGGGTTAATGTTGTCACTGTCTTCAAAAAGGAGGAAACTGGGAACTACAGACTAGTTAGCTAGACATCTATCTCGGGGAAAATTCTGGAGTAGATTATAAAGTGGTTATGCTGTAAGCACCTTGAAAACAATACTGGAATAATTAGAAGCCAACACAGATATTCTCAAGAACAAATTTGCCAGACTATTCTTATCTCATTTTTTGATCAAGTAAACTATTTGGGAGAGACTGGGAATGCTGTAGATGTAATGTATCTTGACATAAGCAAAACGTTTGACAAAGTGCCCCAAGATATTCTGAATAAGCAAGCTAATTAGGTGTGAGCTGGATATAACAATTGTCAGGTAGATACACAACTGGTTATAAAACCGTACTCAGAGAATGCTTATCAATGGCTCCTTCTCAGGCTGAGAGAAAGTAACAAGTTGGGTACCACAAGGCTCAGTCCTGGGCCCGGTGCTCTTCAACATTTTTGTTATTGACTTGGATGAGGGAGTGTGGGGAATGCTTATCAAATATGCAGATAATACAAAATTGGATGGAATAGCTAATACCCTGGAAGACGGAAACAAAATTCAAAAAGATATTGATAGGCTTGAGTACTGGGCTGTAAATTTAACAGGAATAAGTGCAAAGTTTTATACCTAGGGACAGAAAACCAAAGGCACAGCTACAAGACGTGGGGTACTTGGCTGATTAATGTTACAGGAATAAGTGCAAAGTTCTATACCTAGGGAAAGAAAACCAAAGGCACAGCTACAAGACATGGGGTACTTGGCTGATTAATGCTATGAGCAAGAAGAATCTTGGAATTGTAGATCACAAGCTGAGTATGAGCCAACCGTGCAATGTGGCTGCAAAAAAGACAAATTATGTCTTAGGCTGTTTTGATAGTAGTCTCCAAATCATATGAAATACTAGTTCCCCTCTATTAGGCACTGGTAAGGCCTCATCTTGAATCCTGTGCCCAGTTCTGGACATCACACTTTAAAAAGGATGCTGACAAACTGGAACAAGTTCAGAGGAGGGCAACAAGGATGATCAGGGGATTAGAAACCAATCCTTGTAGGGAAAGACTGAAAGAACTGAGCATGTTTAGCCTTGAGAAAATACTGATGAAAGAATATGATAGCATTCTTTAAATATTTGAAAGGTTGTCATATAGAGGAGGAGCAGGATCTGTTCTTGATCATCCCACAGTACAAGGCATGTAATAATGGGCTCAAGTTACAGGAAGCCAGAATTTGGCTGAGTATTAGGAAAAACATCCCAACTATTATAGCAATATGACAATTACCTTGGGAGGTTGTGTGCACACCAGCGCTAGAGGCATTCAAGAGAAAATTGGACAACCTTCTGTCAGATATACAGTGGTGCCTCACTAGACGATTGCCTCATGAGATGAAAAATCCGCAAGATGATTGTTTTTTGCGATCACTATGGTGCCTCGCAAGACATTTTTTTCTATGACCATGCTTCGCAAGACTTTTTTTTGAGACCGATGCTTCACAACTTTTTTTTTTTGACACTGATGCTTCGCAAGACTTTTTTTTTAGACCGATGCATAGGGAACCTCGCAAGACCATTTTTTCACAAGACGACAATTTTTGCGGAACAAATTAAAATCGTCTTGCAAGGCACCACTCTACTTAGATTTAGATTCCTGCATGGATCAGGACCCAATGGCCTTACAGGCCACTTCCAACTCTATTATTCTGTGATTCTATGAATAGACTCTGGTATTTGAAATGATCTGGTCCCAACTGCCAAAGTCTGATTCCAAGCAGTATTACTTAGAATAATTATTCTGCCTCATTAACCAAATTTTAAAGTACTTTAAATATAAGTTTTATTGCATGAATTAATAATAGATCAGATCGGCATTTGTTAATTTCACAGTCTGCAAGTTTCTGACAGCCACAAAAATTTACGTACAAGAAAGACAATTTGCTACCATTCTCTTCTATTCCATTCTATGTGGACATTTTCTATATGACAAAAGACCATTCTCTTCTATTCCATTCTATGTGGATATTTTCTAACATATGCATAGGTCTACAGTATTCCAGTATGCATATCAACATGCATATCACATTATGTCTGTTTATTTTGCTCTCCAGCTGTTCATATAGCTGCAACCTTTTACACAGATTGAAATATCTATTATATCCTCGTAATAGGTAACATTTATATATAGCATGTGGAAACATTAGACATGATCAAGCCGAAGATAGGCACTTTTAAGTCTCATTTATTTAACTTCTGCTCAATTAAGCCCATTAGCTCTCATTGTAAATTTTGGGAGTACTTAATGATAAAAAATATAGGTTAGAATCCTGCTGAGTTATGCAATTGTGGGAAAGCAGTCTCTTACATACATCCCTTTCTCCAGCAGGGTTCCTTTGCAAATTCAGTCTTAAACTGGCTGTGCAACTGGTCACAATCACAGGCAGTGTCTTAGAGCAGCAAGAATACTTACATGATTGCCATTTTGCTCCAAACAAGTTATTGGCCATAAAAATAAACTAAGAATGGTTAAGACCTTGATGGTACCTCAAAAGTTAACAAGCTTTTTTAGTATTAAGTTTTGTAGATTACAGACCACATCATTATATATCAAAGGAAAAAAAATTATGGTAATGCATTTTCTGCTCACACTCACCAGTTTCTGTAGATAATCTGGTCCTTGTGCTCCTTTTCTCAAAAATCATGGCCAAAGATTTTCCTTGTAGCAAAGGCAAATACTGAAAAACAAAAGAAAATGTGCATTATAGAAATCTTTTTTTTAAAAAAAGATGATAAATGATATAAATGACAACTGGAGAATAAAAGGATATAGCTTACTTGTTTGCAGTCTGTGATCATATTTTTAAAAGAGAAGAAAATAACATATTCAAACCAAAAATTAACAGCAAAATACTCAGATGCTGCATCCTAATGAATTTTGTGTTACTTATTTCTGAATAAGTACGGTTTGATCTTAGTACAGTGGTGCCTCACTTGAGGAGGATAATTCGTTCCACTGATATCGCTGTTAAGCGAAATCCTCATCAAGCGAAACGAAAAAGCCCATTGAAATGCATTGAAAACCCTTCAATGCATTCCAATGGGCTAAATACCTCAGCATCCAGAGAAGACCCTCCATAGGGGCAGCCTGTAAAGCGAAGAATCTGTCCTAAATCACAGTGGGGAGCCATTTTGCACAGCGGGTGGCCATTTTAGAGCCGCCGATCAGCTGTTTTAAAATCATCGTCTAGCGAAAAATCGGTTCCCGAAGCAGGGAACCGATCATCATTAAGCAATTTTTCCCTATTAGAACATCATTTTGCAATCGCAAGAACTTCATCGTCAAACGGTTTTGTCATTTAACGAGGTAATCGTTAAGCGAGGCACCACTGTATGTGAGTCCTAAGAGACAGATGTTATAAGCTCCTCTAATTTGGAACAGCAAATGATTCTACTTATAAAGTCACTCAAAACTTTGTGATAAGCAGGAAGGCAGAAAAGACATTAAGGTAAGAGCATTCAGCCCAAAAATGTTATGTACCTCCCCTTTGTGTTTGATTCTTTCTTTCAAATCTGATGCCACCCAAAGCAAATATTTGATTTCTTCTGGTGCATAATTTTGTAAGGTTAGAAGGTCACATCCTTTCAAGTGAACGAGAGGTTTAGTGGGTTCCCCATGCCTGCAGCTCCAAGGAAAATGACAAAAACAAAGCAAAACAAAGTGTCAGAATGAAAAAGGCAGCTTTTAGGAGTAATAGGTATGGAATTGTGGTACCCCTGTAGAGAACTCAGATGTGATTGGATGGGAGTAAGGAATTGTTTGAAGGATAGTTAAGGACAGGACTGGGGGGAGGGCTGGCACAGGGTTGTTGGGAAAACAGAACAGTCTATGACCCAAGTCTGTCTCTGCTCCTTCACCTGGCCTGCTGCCCTCAAGTAAGGTGGAGGATCCTACCCCATTGCCAGGGCTGAAGTAAAAAAAAAAACCATGGCTGGATTCTGTATGTGGGACAGGTGCCATTTTGTCTTCAGATAGTAACTGTCAATGGGTAAGTCTTGGGAAGAAATGATGAGAGATTCCAGCGAGAAGAATGCTGAGGAAGCAGCCATTGGGATTCACTAGTTAATGCATTTAGGGGATGACAGTCAAGGGTACCCTGCCCCATCTGAATTTCAATTTGCTAAGATTCCATGCAAGGTGCAAACTGTAAAGTTAGAGAAAAAGTCAGGGAAATAAAGGGAGACTTTGGCCTCCCAGTACAGACTGTGATATATACTGTGTCTATTATTTAAAAATATATCTGTCACTACCAACACTCCAAACCACTTATCATAATGGCAGACCGATGTTCACATAGAACAGAACCCTCCTATCTAAAGGGGATTGGTTCCACAATCTACTGTTGATGTCTGAAAGAACAAATGGGAGAAAACCCTATATACTACATACAAAAGGGTGGGACAAAAGCCACAAGGCTGCGACAAACCGTGGAAAAGTGAAGCTGCGGATAACGATTACATGGGCATGGGGATCTTACGGTATTAATGTGCTGCTAGGAATTTTAAAATATTTTCCATATGTTTCTAATAAAATTACATATTTTTCACTTTCCTACAGTGCACTTCCCAATACTTAATAAGAAAAGGAACACCGTACCCAGAAAACTATTTTTACATGCATCCACCATTTCAATCCCACACAAATATTTCTATATCTATGATATCTATGGACTTTAGCAATACCTTTCATGAAACGTCATATTAACAAACTTTGAGGATTGTTCTAACTAATATCATCTTTGTTGCCAGGATATATTCTCTTCCTGTATTTACTGAAAAAAATGGAAACAGACCTTTTAACAGAACACTTATTAGCTCCACTATTTGGCCTAACAGTTGTTTTCTACAAGTTCTTCCCCTTTGTCCCTATAAAAGAAGAACCAATCTTAAATAGAAAGGGAAAATCAAAACCATTTGCAAATAAAAGGACTGTTAGATTGATCTTAAACATTCATGCAAAATCACTTCCAGTACATACAATTGTCAAATGACATATGCGAATCAAAAGCAAAGTTACAATAATGGCTTTGGCATATCAACAGCATATGTATTTGCCTCTTGTTTCCCAGTTTATGAATAAATGCTGCTAAGCAACAGAGAAAGGGACATTACTGACCTACCTCAGAAATCCTCTTGTTCTCTTGTTGTGATATATTTAGATTAAACACTTACCGAATATACTGCATTAGTTGCTTGCTGATTTTGTTTTTCCTCCCGGTATTGAGCAGGGACCTAAAATTAAACAGCATCTTTGCTTAATGCTAAAATGTATATGGCAAAGAAACGTTACACAGCTAATGCTAGTTAAAACTGAGAATGCTCTGAATTTTAGTGAAAGAGCAAAGGTAAAACCATCATGTGACAATGTTATCTCTAACAATTGTGAGACCTATTTAATCTCACCGTGGTATGTAATCTTAGGCAAATACAAAAGATAAGTGCAATCAGTTAGGAAACGTCCAAAATCTATAGATTGTATCACTAGCCCAAGAGACCAAATCAAAATATTATAGCAATATATATGGCCTGCTCTAGCTAGATAGTTACCAGGTAACTAATGGTCTACTGATAGTGGAGAGACTACTGAGATGCCCTGGTTATGTGATGCAGATGTTCCACATTGACACATGGTGACATAAAAGATCAGTTCATGTAATCTTTCTTTCTTAATTCCTTTATTTTTCTGGGTTAGGATAACATAATTCAGTATTTACATGATTGTATGAAATGAATACTGTTGTGGGGTCAGACATGCAAAATTTTGATGGGCAGCATTTCGTTACTTAAACCTAACAGCATAAATCCAATCGCATAAATCTCAACAATGAATTGCTGCTAGTTAGGAAGTTGCAGCTTGTATTTCTTGCTGTAGCTCTTGACTTGGTATGCAACAACAACAACAAAACACCAAACTCCTTCATTGGTGGCAGTTCACCACTGCGATGTAGGGTATTGGATTTTTGTCAGCAGGCATAACTCATAAAATTCATGGCAATATATTAAGAAAGCATCATCGGGCTGTATTGAATATTTGCACACATTTCTCATTTTTATTTTGTGAAAGTCTTTCAGCCAAATGCTGTTAGGATATGTAACAAACGGCTGAGAATGGATTAAAATAAGTAACAAAAATGGCAGATTAACACTAATTCTTTGTCACTATCATCTTCATTCTATGGAACTGCTGCTTAGGTACAGTAACTTAATGTATCAGATATTTAATCTATAAGGTGAACATGAAATATGTCTTGTGGAAACCAGTCATATGATTTTTCTTGACACCACAACATCTTAGAGTGTGCAGTGGCACTTATCACAAGGCTGTGATAGATAAGAAGAATGTGTACTTGTCCCACACCCCTGGAATTCAAAGACTACTTTGATATGTGCAGTGCCAGCCATACTGTTAATCTGAGTGAAGGTACTGCCTTTGATAAAAGATTGGGGATAGCAACACTAGCAGCTTCCTAGCTGTTCCTCCTGAATTGTTCCCTCTGTTGGAGAATGGAGCTGTGTATGTCATGCAAGCTGGTCTAGACCACCAAACTAGCTTGTTCAAATCTCATGATCCCATGGAAGATGCCATCTTGCATGCATTAGGGTGCAATCAGATAGTAATTCAGCTCATTTTTGAACTATCTATGGCCTGGTCTGCTTTGATCTATTTTCCAGCTCCCAGATGATGTACAGGTGATTGTGAACCAACGTGACCCTGATCTGTGCCCAATCCAGTCCTTTTTGGTCCAGTGCAGAGCAACTCTCTCTCTCTCGCTCTCTCTTTTTTTTTGGGGGGGGAAGCTTGCTGGAGTGATCAGGCCTGAATCACATGTGCATACAGTATAAGAGTTGCTTTAAAGACTGACCCAACAAAGTACTTCTTTCCAGCTCAATCCAGTATCACTGTCTGAGCATATCCTAAGTTTCACTTGGAAGTCTAATCTAACTTCTCTGTGTGTCCCCTTGTCCTTTGCCTTAGGCAGCAAAGTGTCTTGGAGTGGCCCTGAATATCCATTTAAAAGCAGGAGGCAATTAATATACCAGAGACACATGAAGGTGCCTCTGGATGAACCTTTAAAAAAGATGGACAATTATTTTTATTTATCCATATAATCTTAAGAGTTTCCAGACAATGGCAATTTGAAGCCACCCTTCCATATTTTTTTAACACCTCTTTTTTTCTAATACTGGAAGAGGGGCATTAAAGAGGGGAAAACAGTGGCTGCAGGCCTTTTGACACTTATTGCTCATAGGAAACCCATCTGCCCCAATATGGAAAACTCAATATTGAAAACTCTGAAAACTCAGGTTTGCAGTTTGGATCTTCTCCTGGATTCATCCCTTACCCTGGATGCCCAGGTTTTGTCACTGGCCTGGAGTGCTTTCGCACAGTTAAAACCGGTGCCCCAGCTGAGCCCATTCGTTGAGATGCCTGATTTGGTTAGTGACACATGCCTTAGTTATATCCCACTTGGATTACTATAATGCACTCTGTATGGCACTGCCTTTGAAGATGGTTTGGGAAATTCATGTGTTTTTAATTCTATGTCTTTTAATATTGTCAGCTGGCTTGGGTCCCCTAATGAGGAGAAAGGCAAGGGGAGTGCAAAACCTACAAATGAGAAAGACTAATTTGCCCAAAGCCACTTAGCACACTCATGGTTATTCAAATTGGGAGAGTCATGGTTCCCAATTTAGTCCCTGTGACACCGTGCTTCCTTGAAAACTATAGGTACGTAGTTCCATCGGAAGGGAAATAAAGCACTTTGTACAAGCTCCGAAGCACCCTTCTCCTTTTCATCAATTTGCATAAATATGAGCCCTGATGTTAAAGCAGAACAGATGCAGACGTTGAGCTCTGGAAAACTTCGCATGCAGCCCCGAACATCTACTAAGCTCTTTACCGAACAATAGCGGCCATCGCAGTCCAGTCCGTTCTCTGGCTATAATCTCTTCTCCTAAACTGATCTATTTCCCTCAACCAGCAAGAGGCGCTATAAAATCTGTAGAATAGAGAACAGATTGTTGTCGTTGTATTTCTTACCATAGAGACGTTTATTTTAGTTCTCGCTAGTTACAAAGAGGATAAAATCAAAGAGTTCTAACAACTTATTCTGGTTTCAATTAGAATTGCCCGTATGAGTGAAATACAGTAGAGGAGTCAGGACATATATATCAGTGAAGGACAAAGCAGGAGTTTTTGATTTTTGCTGCAACAGGCGAACACGTGGTGTCCTCAGGATAAAAATAAATACCTTCAAGATGTTACAGAGGGCTGAGTATGCTTTTCCTCCTAACCATCTGGAACTCTGTGACAGAAGGAGAGAAGGGTTGAAGGCAGTGGCCAGTATCCTAGGGTAAGGCCACTCACGCCTCTGGATTTACACAAGATTTGAGTTGTTGTTGTTTAGGCGTTTAGCAGGGTTGAAGGCAGTGGCCAGTATCCTAGGGTAGGGCCACTCACTCCTCTGGATTTACACAAGAGTTGAGTTGTTGTTGTTTACTCGTTTAGCCGTGTCCGACTCTTCGTGACCCCATGGACCAGAGCATGCCAGGCCCTCCTGTCTTCCACTGCCTCCCGGAGTTGGGTCAGGTTCATGTTGGTTGCTTCGCAGACACTGTCCAGCCATCTCGTCCTCTGTCCTCCCCTTCTCCAAGAATACCCCATGAACAGAAACAAAAGGCTAAAAGAGTTGATTTACTATTCAGCAACTGATGCTACGGCCCCACTCTTGGGACTAGTTATAGGATACCGTTCTCTGCCCGTTTCCTACATGCTTAATTCCTCGGTCATATAACGCATTATCCAATGTAACTCGATTTTGCGAAGCCTTTGCCCTGCACATATGGCATCTCCCTGCGCTCCAGTTGTACGGCAGCCGCAGCCTTGGAGGATGCCCTGCCAGCAGCTGTTGCATCGCCCGGCATAAGTGGCACCGGATTTGGAAGTCCGCGCAGCAAGCTGTACATTCGGGCTCCTGGGCTGTGCCGCTTCGCCCTTTAGTTCCCACCAGGCTTTGCCTTTCCATCTTTGAGCTGCCCTCCCGCAAAGAAGAGCAGGTCGTGGTCAGGGGGTGCTAAAGAGATGCTGCGCTGCCCAGTCGACGATTGCCGCCTAGAAAGCGAGAGAGAGAGAGAGAGAGAGGAACAAGCTCAGCGGTACCCACAGCGGACGCTCTACACCGACGTGGAAGGTATCCTCTATGATCCTGGCTGTTGCTAATAGCAGGGGGTTTGTTTACTTCCGGGCCCCTCGCGGCTCGTAGGTACCTCCCCCTCCGGCCTGACATGGGGGAGGCCGAGGAGCAGGTGCCCGGTGAGTCTCATCCACCCACCCACCCACACACACCCCTTCTCGGGCCGTCGGTTGGTTGGTGCCGGAGACCCTCGCCTCTGTCTGTCGTGACCTGCGGTGCCTGGGAGGGCGAGCGCGTGGCGGATGCCCATCCCTTTCCATCATCCTCCTGTACTCTGCCCTGGTCCTGTCTCTCTCTGAGATGCCTCGCGGGCGCAGGATCAGCCCGCGAATCGGTCTTTGGCTCCGGAGAGTTGCGCCTTCCTTGTAGCTCTGGGCAGGGTGACTTGCGGATTTCCAGGCTCAGTCAGAATCTCCTTCTTTGGTGTCTCTAGCTGGCCTTGGGAATCCATATTACCCGTCCCTGGAACCAAAAGGAAAGGCTGGTTAGAGTGTTTGCTTCCCCCCCACCCTTTAAGAATTTGAGGAGTGATTGTCGAATTCATCTAGTTTTTAACTTTCAAGTAGCTTTTTTTAAAAAAAATGTTTTGGCTTTAGAAAATAGGAAAGAAAGCATGTTGGCCTTTAACATCAGCCTGTGCTTTCCTTCCCAGCACTGTTCCACAATCTGTACAATCTGTTTTTGTTTCCAGCCTGGCAAAAATTAGTATTAAAAGTTCTGCTGGCATGGGTGCTTTGTAGGCTGGAAGTGGCATTTGGTGCTACTTTTCCTCAGAAACTGTCAATGTAATATTATACAGCCTATTTTAACTGCATGGAAAACATGTTTCTATGTGGAAGAAAGATGATTGAGTGGTTGGATATGGACCCTCTGCCACTTTAATCTGAAGAGATAACTATTGGGAATGGGATGCTTCTGTTGACAGCTCCTGTCAGGATGAACATGCAAGTTATTTTTGAATCTGAACAGAGCATTCTGGATATATGTAGCAGTTCCCTTTGTCTAATGTATTACCAGGTAAATACATGACCATGTGAAGAAAACATCCATATATTAGCAGAACTCACAGTACCTAAGTGAAGGGGAAAGAAAGCATTTGGATATAAAAAAGAAAGTATTTGGACATAATGAAAAGCAAAATAGGGTACTATTTTATACTGTGTTATATATATAACTCAAACTAATATGTCAGCTCTCTTTTTCTTTTTAGAATCAGGTGCTGTATTCACGTTTGGGAAAAGCAAATTTGCAGACAATGTGCCTAGCAAGTTTTGGTTTAAAAATGACAAGCCTTTATATATATCATGCGGAGATGAACACACTTCTGTTGTAACAGGTTAGTGTTAAGATTGTAAGAACCGTGCTTTCCAACATTCCGCCTGCTAAAGTGGGTTTCTTTCACTGTCTCTGTAGCAGCATAGTAGAGAAATATGTTAATGTATCTACCATGATTAAATCACTTCATTGATAAACTGACCTGGTAAAGACAGCTGTTTGAATGACAAATCACAATCCTGAGAAAGTTTCGATAATACATATTATCAAATTAAGCAAAATGCATACTATTGACAAATTAAGCAAAATGCATTCTTTGTATGTGAACTTGAGTGTTTCCCCATCTTGAGATGAATGAACACCTGTCTAGTTTACAAAAGCAAATCCTTAAAAATATATAAACAAGTGTACATTATGTGTTTTTCTCTTGAATGATGGGAAGTACTGTATATGCTTTATATAATCTTTTGAGTTACTTATTTTTTAAAAAATTATCCAGATTTTATCTATCTGCTCAACAAGGAGGAATGAAAGCAGTTATTGTTAAAATCCTGAACTGAATCCCCCAAAATCTCTGACATTATATTCTCCATCACAACTCCACAAATCAAGAGCAACTGAAGTTCATGCAGTTTGCTACTCATTGTTGTCCCCAAATTATTGGATCAAAGTTGACTTTAAGAGACTGAAAATGAGAACCGAAGTTATAAGAGGGCCACAATTGTACAATCTGTTTGGCAAGCCAATCCAAAGTGCATTCGATTTAAACTTTTAAATTTTTTTAAAAAATCAGATGATTTAAATTAAAAATGATTTTTCTGATTCAAATCATGATTCAGCATTACTTCCCCATGTAGTTATACAGAGTTGCTCTGTTATTCTGTAGACACTCTTGTTGTGTTTGCTAGAACAGACTAAAATGGCTACCCTTCCAGAAATAGTTAAAAATAATAATTGTTTTATAGCAGTATTGGGATACCTAAGTAGCCAGAGGTGCATAAAATATTAATACTGGCCAACTTCTCAACTGCCCTGCAACCCAGTAATTTAATACAAAATCTACAAGTACATATTCATTCAAGTAATTTATATTTGTAAATAAATGCATGCTAGTGTGTGAATTTAAGGTTAAAGGTATATAAGTAATTTATTAATCTGCTCATTCAAAGAAATACAGTGGTGCCTTGCTTAACGAGCGCCCCATTTAACGAAGAATCCGCATAGCGATTTGTTTTTTGCGATCACACTCTGATCTTTTTAATGGCAAAAAATCACTTTGCGATGATCGGTAAACTCTTTCGCTTACCGATTTTCGCATAGCAATGTTTTAAAAACAGCTGATTGGCAGTTCCAAAATGGCCGCCCGTAGTGTTTTTGTGCCCATTCCTCGCATACTGGGCAGCGAAAATGGCGGCCATATGGAGGATTTTCGCATAACTGTGAGTTTTAAGCCCATAGGAACGCATTAAACAGGGTTTAATGCATTCCTATGGGCTTTTTCTTTTTGCATAGCGACGAATCCGGATAGCGACGATTTTTTCGGAACGGATTATCGTCGCTATGCGGGGCACCACTGTACTTCCAAGCAATGCATTCTACATTTTATATAATTGTCTGAAATTAGTTTTATTTGAACTGATATAATATAAAAGCAGAAAAGGCCAAAAACTCAAAACGTGTGCAAATGTGTATAACAAACATAATTCTGTGAATGAGAAAAGCCGCCAGAAATCAAGCGCTAAGTATCGTTGTTAATTCCAGTGAAAGTAGCCTCACTGAATGGAGATGATTCATAAAGTCAATACATGGATAACTTACATTGGCCAAAATCCTCTGGTGTAGCTATCCAAAAGGTTCAACTTTTAGAGATGAATTGGATAAAATTAAAAAAAAAATCCATGGAGATTATTTGTTGCATGTTTCCAAAAATTATGCCCTTTGTATTACGCCAGCTAAACAAGAGGATTTTGGGTATTGATTCAATGGGTCTCCTCTTTTTGGATAAATGATTGGATGTAGCCTCTAATGTTGTAAACATATTACATAAAAATATAAATATATTATTAAAAAGACATGTGAACTGGAATCCCTTGACATAATTTTGTCAGGTGTTCAAAATATGAAAAGGTGTCATACTTTCAGAATAGTGTATAACTTACTCTGTAATTGTTTAATGCACAACTAGTTATAATTATTCTATTTTGTGAACCCCTTTTGGTTTGGGTTAAAACTGACGGTTCATTCTAATATATGAAAGATGTACGAGGCCTTACTCTGTAGTGTAGCAAGTGGTGAGTCAAAGTAATCTCATGACACTGGAGTGTTTACCTATTTCCTTTGATTTCTGTATTCTGTAGAAAATGGTAAACTTTATATGTTTGGAAGCAACAACTGGGGACAATTAGGATTTGGAACGAAGAATACCCTCAACAAGCCTACTTGTGTGAAAGGTTTGTGTTACTTAAACTTAATAAGGGATATCCTAAGAGGTCCTGTAATGTTTTAAAAAATAAATAAATAAAATTCAGTGCTATTTTTAATGTCTTATTATTCTAATGTTTGAGGGTGTTGCACAACTGAGATTCATTTCATGTAAAATAAAAATATATACAACTCTTTGAAACATTTCTTATTTTATGCTCATGCCATTACCAGGATGTTAATTGTTTCCTTTCATTTATATAAGGAGCGTTGGTGCTAAAAAATGGATGGGTTTTAGTAGTGAAAACACAGGTTAAAAATATCAGGGTTTTTTTCCCCCATACATAGTGAAATAATTATTTAGGGTGCAGTTCTCTGTGTTTCTAGGCCAAGGTAAGTCCTAATTGCTTCATTAGGACAAACTCTTAATAGCCATATGTGATTGGATGCAGTCATATGTCATCTGGTTTATATTTGCTGTAGTTTCGCATCTTGTTGCTAGCTTAAGACTAGATGACTTCATAAGTGTCGTAAAGCTGGTGCAGTGCTGGAACTTGGAAAAGTTGCTTTTTTAGACTGCAGCTTCCAAAATCACCCAGCCAACATGGATATTGACTATGCTAATTGGAAGGTTCTATGACAGAGAAACTCTTCCAAGGTTTGAACTGAATATATTCAGTGGCAATAATTTTAAAAATGGTAACCAATATGCCTTTATTTTACAGCTTTAAAACCTGAAAAAGTAAAACTAGCTGCTTGTGGGAGGAACCACACTTTGATTTATACAGGTAACGTAATTTGTAGTGTTGTTGCATTATTTTCCTGTGGTTGCTCTCCGTCTGCATTCTAAGAAACAAAAACATTATTATGTGAACATGTGAAGCTGCTGTTTTATAGGGCACCACACAGTGGACCCATGTAGCCTTAGAATGTTGCTCTGAGTGAGTGAATGATCTTTACTATGGTTAGTGAGCGGAAGATATATCCAAATGTAACTGTAACACAAGAATACAATGAAAAGTAGCATAGGGTAGCAATGATAATATCACACGTATGCAATCTGTTACAATATAACTAAATTAGATGGCACCTCCTTAGTTTCACTGGACTGAGGAGGAGTTCAGTAAATAAATTCAGTAGACTCTGTACCACCTCCAGTCTCATTGTCTTAAGTAGTGTAGCATATAGAACATAGGGTGGCAACACATATTATTACTAAGGCATTACTAAACATCTGGCTTTGCCTTGATCAGTGCAAGGAGGGAACAGCGACACTTCATTGCTGCTGCACAGAACTTTGCCACTGCTATGGTTATATCAGACTTGTCCAAGAGTTAGAGCATGGCATAAAATTCACTGGACCTCCCTTGAAATTGTTGTAATATTGACTGGAAGAGATCCCTCCAAGTATCTCGATAGAAAGAGCACTTTAAGACTTTAAGACTGGGAAACCAGCCTGCAGGATCAAAATGTTCTGAGATGTTTGAACTTTCATGGACTGCAATCTGCAAAAGCTCACACCAAAATAAATTTCTTCGTCTCAGAGCTCTTCGTCTCAGAGCTGCCACAATACTTGTGTGTTTGTGTGTGTGTGTGGGGGGGGCTTATTGTTATTATTTTGGATTGAGAATGATTTTTACTATTTTCCACATAGTGTACTTGTTTCTGTGAATATGTGTGTTCTCTACTGTCAAGTCAGAACCAATTTAGGGCTTTCAAGATAAGCGAGATATATAAATAGTGGTTTTACTTTTTCTGCTCCCCCAGTCAGTTTCCATGGCCAAGCAGGAATTTAAACCCTGTTCTCCAGAGTCCTAGTTTGTCACTCTATCCACTACACCAGTGGTCCCCAACCTTGGGTCTCCAGATGTTCTTGGACTTCAACTCCCAGAAATCCTGGCCAGCAGAGGTGGTGAAGGCTTCTGGGAGTTGTAGTCAAAGAACATCTGGAGGTCCAAGGTTGGAGACCACTGCAGTACATCATACTGGGAATTACTCCTATTAATATAGTAATGTTTTATTATTTAATGTTTACATTAAATAAGATGGAAGTATTTCTTAGTCTTACTACCTGAGATTTCTTAACTTAGCCTGCCTGGAATTGAACATGAACAAAATGCATATAGTGACTGAAATAGTGTTTTGAAAGTTATGACATGCAATGATGTCATCTGGCACAGTGAGTTTTCATAAACAAGACATTTCTGATGTCTTCTCCAAAGGCTTCTATGGAATACCTTTCATTGTAGCAAAACCATTGGGAGCCATGGGCTGATGGGGGGGTAGTATTTAATTGTGGAAAATAACCATAGCTGATAGTCATCCTGGTATTGGTGATTTTCAGTCATTAAATAGAACCCTCCTCCCCCATTCCGAAGCACCCAACAACTTCCTGATGACAAAAGGGATTCCACAGGGCCTTGGGACCTTTAGGCAACAATTCTTTTGTTTTTGAGAAATTGCCACCACTAATGAGATCATCAGCCTTACCATGGTATAACACAGAACATGACTTCAGCTAATGTCTAACTGTTGGTGGATATAGAATGAAAATTCTCCCTAATATTCACTGAATAATTTTTCAAGTGTCCTTTCTAGAGCAGAATATCTAAAAATGCTTCAAGACCAAGATTTTACTAATATTAGCCAACCTATTGGGCCTGGTTAATTTAAATACACCTCTGGATCTGTAGAATATTTGAGGCAGATTATCTTGCTTCCTGCTGAGGAGGATCCATTAAAAAGAAAAGCTAGAGTGTGCTTTGTATATAAATACTGTACTTGCAATGCTTTTAATATTTGCAAGGCAATTTTCCCTTACATTTTCACAGAAGTTCAAACCTACCAGTAAAGTGACATGAATAACTGGGAACTTGAGAAGACAAGACTAATTAGAAAAGACAATAAAGCTGAGAACAGTTGAAGGCAGTAAGAAAAGCAGAAGACTAAATATGTGGTGGGTTGATTCAACCAAGGAAGTTTGCAGGGATTGTTAATGATAGGAACTTTTGGAGGTCAATAATTTATGGAGTCCCTATCTGTTGGAAGTGACTTGTCAGCATATAAAAACAATTGCTAATTACAGAATGCTTTTCCCAAGGAAGCTCACCTGTTTTAGGCAAGCTCCAGCAGTATACATGCTTACAAAATAGAACTCCACCATTTAGGCAAATATGTTTTTCTTTTCTTGTGCGTTTGATTAGCTTAGTAGTCTGAATTTGGTATTCATCTTTGTTTATTGCTTCTTTGCTGGATTAGGAATACCTTTTACTCTTTGGATGGTTTTTAAAGTGAATATTTTACATTAGTATAATTTTTAATGAACCACTTACTTTATATTGCACTTGTCTTTGCGATCGCAAAATCTTCATCACTGTGCGGTTTCATCGCTAAATGGAGCGCCCGTTAAGTGAGGCACCACTGTAATCTGGTTTCATTCTAGGAGAGGATTTTTTTCATTGTTGTTTCAAATAGGTGTGCTTACTCTACATATGATTTTCTGTGTGCAGAACAAGGAAATATATATGCTGCTGGAGGTAACAATGAAGGGCAGTTGGGATTAGGTGACACAGAAGAAAGAACCACATTTCATCTAATCAGTTTTTTTACCAACCAGCAGAAGATCAAACAGCTGGCAGCTGGATCATACACCTCAGCAGCTCTAACTGGTGAGCCTGACAGTTAGGACAAATGTTATAGCAAATGGGATTTTATGTGGGGGCAAATAAATACTTGTAACCATAGATTGCGAAATATGTTTTTGTCATATACTTGTAGCCATAGATTGGGAATATGTTTTTGTCGTTTTTGTGATATAATGTAAGGTTTCATTAATATCCTTACTTGATTCTTGGTTCTTGGATTATACCTGTGCAGTTGAACAATTTGTTCTGCTAAACTCATTTTGTGAGAAATGTTTTGCCCTATATGTATTGTATTTTACCCCATATTTCTTTGCGAGGTAATTCTAAAATAAAGATTCCAAGGATTGTGCACTTAAAATAAACTAAACTATCTCCTAGTAAGAGGCTTAAGAGCAATACTTAATTGCAAATGTGCTGTCATGGGTCTTTTAGCAATTGAGAGTCTGACCTCCACACCATTGCTTTCAATGAGGATTTCTTCTCTATATTGTCCTTTATGTATAATATTCTCTGGGTTTGTCACTTTATCATGAAGACATTCCTGTTTTCACTGCAACTCTGCAGTTCCTGAGCCATCATTTTTCCAAGCTCTGTTCTGAATTAAAATAATTTAAGGCAGCAGGACATCACCATAAGCAATCTGCTTTCAGATGTAACTTGGTAGCTCTGGTAATGCTCATTGTGATACTTTTGCTATATCTTCTGAACTGTAGACCTGTCCATGGCTTTTATTTTCTTACAAGCTGTTTTAAAATGCCTCGACTCCATTCAAAAATCCATATGATATGGTGGCAGGGCTATAAGCCAGAAGTTATAGTATGTAGCACAGAATCTAGGCTGCTTTGTATTATTTACTGTGAATGGTTTGGCATTTGTTTTATATTTATAAAGTGTTTTTTTCTTTTAAGAGGATGGGCAGCTTTTTATGTGGGGAGACAATTCCGAAGGACAAATCGGCTTGGCTGATGAAGCTAATGTTTGTGTTCCTCATCAAGTAGATGTTGGAAAACCTGTTACCTGGATCTCTTGTGGATATTACCACTCTGCCTTAGTAACACGTGAGTACAAAATATTACAGATATACATGTGTGGGTGTACAGTCAGCTCTCTTGTGTAGCTTTGGATTAGTGGGTGAGACTTCAGAATCCTTCCCCCCCTTTTGGTATATATTACAAATCCTGGTGATGCTACAGTTACATAGAGAGCAATCTGGGCAGTGGAAACCAAAGTAGTGGATTACTTGGCTAAGTTCTGTGAGCTTGTACTGCCTAGACAGAAGGTTGATATGTTGGTGGATTTTTCTTCTTGTCATGTGGATCTTCCTTTAAAAAAAAAGAAGACGACGGCGACACCCTCTGTGGTTCCACTTTGCAGAAGGAAGCCAGTAGACTCTTCTATATACTTCCATAGGTACAGCTTCCAATTCGTGAGTTTTCCTGGTGAACAAAGGATCCTTTGATCCAGCAAATCCAGGATAGTCTCTGACCTGCCCTCTGCTGTTAGTGCTTATGGCATAATCATGACTACAGAATGCTCCAGAGACATAGTGGAGACCTCAGTGAAAGACTTAGCCCCCTTATGCTGATGAAGTTCTTTTGCACTTGTGAGCCTGCATCTCTGAAGCATCACATCTACCTCTAACCTATGCCTCTAGGGGATAGGAATGCACTATTTTAAATATTTTTTCCAGAAACTAAATTAAATATAATCCTAAAGTAGATTATGCAATTGTTACAAAGGAAACATTTTGAAAATCCTAAAACAAATATCTTTTTTTCTGGCATTAATCAACATCATAATGTTTTGTTTTGTACAGGAGATGGAATGCTTTATACTTTTGGGGAGCCTGAAGATGGGAAGCTGGGTCTGTCACCTGAGCAGCTCACAAACAATAGGGTTCCACAATTTGTTTCTGGAATTTCTGGCAGGGTCAGTAAAGTTGCCTGTGGAGGAGGACATACAGTAGCACTTGCAGGTATATGTTTGGAGTTTTTATTCTAATATTTCCCTCAGTGCTTCATGTTCCTGGATTTCCATGCTCTCGTGTTTCCCCATACCTTCCCAAAATAAGCTAAATTAGGATACATGTGTAGACACTTGCATGACTCTAGTTTGATGCAGTAAATCAGTAAGGACCTTTAGAAGAAGTTATAGAATAGCTAATTTATCTTGTGTTGAAATAATTAAATAGAAGAAATTAGGAAGTTATCCATGATAAATGGGTTATGCTGATGGAAATTTTACAATAAAAATAATTTTTTAAAAGTGGTTGCCTTCATGTCCTGCTTAGGGGCTTCCCATAGGTTGTCTGTTGTGGGTATGTTGGTGGCTTTGACCTTTTAAACAAGCTCAGTCAAGACAAATAACCTCTTGCCCTCCAGATATTGCTGGATTTCAACTCCTATCAACCTTGTTAGCATGTCAGGCCAGCTGAGAGAAATGACAGAAGTTTAGAAACGTTTGAATGGCCATGAATTCACTCCCTCAGGACAGGCCTTTGTTCTATAAGCAGCACACTCTTAATCCAACACAATTCGGGTTTTTCTTTACCAATGAAGAATAAGGGGCAAGACTGGTTGGAGAAAGGGACTGTAGGAAATATTTTTATCGATGAATTGTAGGTTTGTCCTCTTAAAAGATTTAATCTTAGAGATTGCGGAGCGGGGGGGGAGTAGAAGGGTGCACAGGTACAGTATTGGATGTGCTGGCTTTATATTAATTTCTCACACAGTGATCAGTAATAAGTAGATGGTGTGAAATGCATTCCAGTCCCAGTGGACTCAAAAGTGTTTAAGGGTCATTAAACCGAACGTAAATATGAGCAGAATAGTTCTCTAGCTAGTCTATATTTTCTTCCAGTTTAGTATCCTAAATAATATCCACTCCTCCCACTGATTCTTTGAAGAGGCAGATACATTTACTTTGCTCCTGTATTGTTCCAGCAGAGGGAGCTTTAATATTAAATGTAGTGCAAAGATAAATATTTATGACAGTATCATGTATTAAAATATACAACAGATTCTCACTGATTGCTTTTCATTGTATTAATATATAAAGTTTTTGACAAAGCATATTTTAAAATTATAATAGTAGAAGGAGCAAGCCTACAAATACCAAAAGAAAAAGAAAGTATATGTTAATAAAGTACCGTATTTTTCCGTGTATAAGATGCTATTTTCCCCTAAAATCATTACAGTAAAAATTGAGGGGCAGCTTTTACACAGAAGTAAGCTGAGAACACAGAGAAAACTAAACAGCCCATACCTTGTCTCTGTAAACAGGCTTCCTTCAATCATGAGGCTTAGCTGCCTCCAATCAGGAGGCTTAGCTGCCTCCAATCATAAGCCTTATGGAACTGCCAGCTGATGCTGAACAAACCAATTCGAACACACCTCGTTGGAGGTGGAGCTTGTAGGCTCAGGTGCAACAGGGACTTGTAATGTCCAAGCTTTCTGAGCCCAGAGGCTGAATAATGAAAGCTAAGTTTTCTTAATTTGAGGGTTAGAATAGTGGGGGTATCTTATAAATTTTTTTGATCCATACAGCGATGTTTTCACACAGCGAGGGTTAATTCGGAATGGATTAACCTCGTTGTGCGAGGCACCACTGTATATGTTAATAAAGTACCATATTTTTCCGTGTATAAGATGCTATTTTCCCCTAAAATCTTTACAGTAAAAATTGAGGGGTATCTTTTACACAGAAGTAAGCTGAGAACACAGAGAGAACTAAACGGCTGTTTCTCAGTTTTGATTCAGTGTCAAACGAAGATATTTTGCTATGTGGGGCAAAACCCAAATGGTGTATTTTCTTGCCCCAACCAGTTAGCTAGCACTGCCTCATTCAGATACCATTTCCTGTATTCTGTTGCATCACTTTGAGACATGACAGTGCTGACCCTGATATTTTTTTTTGGGGGGGGGAACTTATATGTCTTAAACCTTTTGGCTGAGCATGAATACTAGTTCAGTAAATACAACATACGTCTGATTGCTTTTTTTTCAATTTGCAATCAGTTTTCATTCTGGTGGCAGGGTAATTTGACTTGGTGTTTGGATAAAATAGAGGAAAATGTCATTGGTGGAAGAGTTTTTAATTAAAATCAGAAAGTCACAATGATTCCTACACAAGTGCACAGCTGGCATCACATTGTTTGTATTGTCCTTCACCTATAACCTCCAGACTAAATAGTTATTTGCAGTATTATGTGTACATGGATGCATGCCTTTTAAAAAATATGGAAACAATGCTTTAGTGCCATTTTGCCTTTCATGTTTTTCCTGCAAACTTACCTCTTTTATTCCAATTTTCGTAGTGCCTTTTATTAACATGGCCGAATCCTTGGACAATACTACACTATAACAGAATATGTACTTTCCCCCATTTTCAGAGGGAAAGGTCTACACCTTTGGTCTTGGCCAGTATGGGCAACTTGGGCTCGGTACATTCCTTTTTGAAACCTCTGAACCAAAGATTGTGGATAATCTGGAGAAGCATAAAATCTGTAATATTGCAAGTGGGGAAAATCATACAGCTTTAGTAACAGGTATAAATTCTTTTGGCTCTGAAATATATTTGCAGTGCTATTCTTGTACTTTTGCATGGAATATAACATTGTCAATAATCACCAGAATTTTATTATTTACGTAGACCAGCATAAGTAACCTGCTGCTAATTAAAGAACTCAGTTCCTCCTCATATGCCAGAACACATGACTGGTGCACAGCAAGGAATATATCAGGTTCTTAACTAGCAGTGATTCACCACTGAGGTTTATACCACTTGACTTATACTGGTACAGTATATGTAAATAATAGGATTCTGACCACCAGAAAATAAGTGTGCTCGTATATGTCTCTGTCTCCACCATTCCTCCAAGATCATGAAGTCTGTGTACCTGAAACTTGACATCAGAGTGGGCACTCAAGATAGTTTTTAAAAATAGTTTAGGTAACTTTTGGTTTGTTAAAATGTGTCTGTAGCATGCAGTACCATTTTGAGTCGCTAGCTTCCAGATTCCCTAAACTTTCCCTAGAGATAACGCTGCAGTCCGTTGTAGGATATTCATTTCTCCAGATGGGCTCTAGGTAGCTCCTCGTTGGTTCTGCAGAGTCCCTGAACTCTACAGATAATTAGAAGTAGGTTGTTGCATGGGAACCAGGTGAAAGAGAGTGGGCAGGAGGAAAAGTAGAATGAGCATGAGTGCAGAAGAAAGAACAGCAAGAAAGGAAAAGTGTTGAGAGGGGAACTAAGGAGTTTTTATCAGCTGCAAAGCTAGATACTCTCCTATTGTATTATACATTTGCTTTATAAGAGAAAAGCTATATCAGAGAAAAGCTGGCTGGATAATTCAGTGGTTTAGGTAGCTGGCTGCGGAGCCAGCCGTTGAGAGTTCCATTCCCCACTGTGTGTCCTGTGAGTAGAGCCACCCTATGTGGCCCTGGGCAAGCTGCATAGTTCCAGAGCGCCCCCCAGAAGAAGCGAATGGCAAATCACTTCTGAGTATTCTCTAGCTGGAAAACCTGGGAAAGGGTCACCGTGAGTCGGAATTGACTCGATG